TTCCATTTTTGCTTGTTGATAGACTGTTGTCAAAATTAGACACAGCTATCAGCTGTCATTTACACTATCGTATGTCATAATTATTCTTTATGTTATCATTTCAGGAGACCCTTTTTCCTTCAAACTTACAGACGCGCTAAGCGCTACCTAAGTAGTTGAGGTTTGTATCTAATTTATATCTATTCCTCAATAAAGGACCTCTTTTTAGATAAATGGCTGTTTTATGAACTTTGGTTTCGCACGTATCTCAGTCGTGTAATTAGACGCTTCGATAGATTTGACAAACCTCCTGTAGGTCTATTGTTCATTTGGAACAATGGTATTTGTTATGAAGTTTTGTCTATAAATTGCTTCTAAATTAATACACCTGAATTATAATGCTCTAGTAGACAACTTCAAAGCGATCGTATCCCCCATTGTATGTTCTTGTAGTCAAGCAAATATGTGGTTGATGGATCGACGATCTGGGTGGAGCCTAACGTACTCTTTACAAGCTGGTTTTAAACTCATGTACTACATAACGACAGTCAGTATTTGAAATGCAACCAATATCAAATTATTATTGAATCAGTTATCTTGCGGTTCCACACATTGGGTTTATAGCTCCTGGTAGCTTAAGTGGGACAGCCCCCGGTATTTATAAGATCCAGATGGTATCTCCATTTTGAACACTAGGCTTCCCATGCCGCACTCATGTTTTGTGTAGTTATCATCATGGGGACTTTTATCAACAATTCGTCGAATTAGGCTGACCTGGAATCATCAACTTGTGACGCCCATTGAAATTCAGTGTCTTGAGGAATTAAGATATTTTCTACCTAACATTTCGCTTTTTCGTTATCCTTGGCTACTGACCAAGCATAAATCCCTGTACCTAAAAACTAGCCAGCAGGACGATGTATGTTTTCGTGGGGCTCGTTATTTTGTCGTCATTTAGATCGGGCGATGTTCTTCAAAGGGCTCTCCATTTTAGTGGCCCGAGATCTGACTCCAATTCGATCGTAATGAATGATTATTATTGAACTGTATATGTCGTCATCCTCGTATATAATCATCGACTTAAATCGCGTTAGTCAATAACGGAATTAAATAAGTCAAATAACGAGAATGGACTTTTGAATACATATATTTTGTATATGAAGCGAATGGAACAGAGTCAAGCGAAACGGCGCTCAGTGGAGATGACAGGTAAGCCAACTCCCATTTAATCAAACATTAATCAATATTTATAGGCACACAAAAATAAGTTACCGACTGTTACTTCTATCGAAGCGTCTACTTGACCTGATTGAGATACGCGCGAAACCGATGTTCCAAAACAACGATTTGTCTATAATAGCGGTTCTCAAATTGTGAGGTGTCTGTGGTGTTTAAACGCGTCCTTCAAGTATAAAGATAAAAGGCTTCGATAGTACAAAGAACAGCTGATAGCTGTGTCTAAATTTGATAGCAGTTTATGAACAACCGAAACCCGAACCAAGAGCAAAACAATATGGAAACTGTTGCGTTTAAACAAATGCACGAAACTGTGGTTAAACGTTACAGTGATTAAGGTACAGTAATTATAATGATAAGTACAATAAACGTCATAAATATATGTGAATAATTCAGAATAATACAATACGACTTGCGTTACAACATAGGTGCAAAATTGTTGGAAATACAATTGCTTACTGAATGTAAATAAGTAGTACAAAACAATATACAAAAGAGTAGAAAGGAAACAAGTAGGAACAATGTAAGCAAACTTAACACCGACATGTGATGAGTAATGGCATGAGAAGTGTACACACACCTACGCGCTCATGTAAGAACAGTCAAGATTGATTAGCGGGAATGTGACTCAAGTAGAATGAATAGATTGAGCCGTCCTAAAGCTAGAATAGGGTATATGGGCTTAACATAATAGCAGACACTTCAATGTTATTTGATAATAAATTTCTTAATCTGATACATTTGGATTGTAATTCAGGGGAGCATAACAGAAATAAAGAAAAGATGTATTACTTCTTATTCTTATTAATCTATAACATGACTGTTGATAACGATCCAGGCAATTATTTTTACTCTAGCTTTAAAGTCTAATACTACGCAGAAGCTAGTGAGGCTGGAAGTCAATGGGACATGATCCAAATACAAGTGAAACACATTGGAAAAATTTAGCGGTTATAGATCTACAGTACTATAATCTTAAATAAACATTTCTAAAGTAGAACTCAAGTTTACGGGATTTCCAGATCACTAACACGTTTTCGATATGTATCATCTTAGGATCCTCACGAGTGGCAGATTCAAATGACGTATGGTTTCAAACTAGCTTCATCAGACATTGAGAGAGAATAACCTTTTGATGGCAATTGTAGCATGAGTTGGGACCGTTTTTACAGACTAAAACGTTCTATTATGGGCTACTTGCTTAGTGAGAACATTCCAAAATGAGGTTGGGAAAAACTGAATCACCTGGAATGAAAGCAATATAGAACTGCTAATTGATATAAATTAACCTTGTCTGTAACAAAGTACGATTTGTATATACATGCAGAACAGTTTATTTATCCCGTTGATCTACGATTGGTTTGGTTTATATAAATAATCATCATACCGTCGGCCTTACCTGAGTTTTCGGGCTATAATAATCATTACTTTAAGTTTACTTCACTAAACATTTTCTGATGTATGGTGTTGTGGAGTGAAGAAATTTGCTCAGATAATGACGGAGTATCATGAATCAGTTAGTTAAAAGGATCAGTACGTTCGGAAAAGTCAGATCTGACCAGTTTTTGCTTTTTAATTAACTTTTAAGGATAATCAGAACAACAAGATTAATCCTTAAATGGCTTATTCTTTAGCGAATTAACTGTAACTTTATCCAGAAAACCAGTTGCAGTGGATAATATTGGTATATTAGTGCTGAGAATTCTACATTGTACCAAAATATAATATTGAATAAAGCCATAAATAAATAGTGGTCATCCTACTTTTTTCTAAGCAAATTGAACGAACGTTAAAAACATTTTCAATGTTGTGAATATGCGTTTCGAAGTTTTAGGCACTTGTGACGGACAAGTTCAGTGTCACAAAAGCCACCAGCCTTCAACGATACCATCATCAGGTTACGTTAGTTGGTATGAATAAATCTTTAAAGTTCATGAGCGATGGTCAAGTATGTGACTATATAAGTTACTTCTGAATAACGTTTCTACTAGGTATGCAGAGCTTAGAATAAGGCCACAATATTTTGTTGTTCTGCATACACTAGAGATAGTATGGACCTAACTGTAAGAGTATATTTCAGTGAATCTCCTTATGTGCCCACAAACACTTGATAGTCAGGAAAAAATTTAACTAGTAAGGCAATGTTTATTTAATTATAAAAAATATTCATTTCGGAATGTACTTATTTACCTTAGTAACTTGACTTTTGGGTTACTAGCTCATCATGTGTATACAATATATCAGTTAAAAGTCAAAAATTGTTACTAAGGTGAATGCAGTATACTTTGTGAATCATTCCTCCTGCGTAGTCAACAGTTATGTTGACTTTTTATATATGAATCAGAAGTTACGGGTCGCTGTCGTCGTAGATTTGTTCACTGAACATTAAATTTTGTCACGAGTAGAGTAGATTTAACTTACAGAAGTAATATCTGAATGTTAATGAAAGGTATTTGCAAAATCATGAATTATGATACTGCAGTTCTAAAATAATAACTCACAGAATTTTGCATCAAATGAGACCATAGTTACGGATTGTTCCAAATCGGATCATCGCATTTTGCGATTTTAAATATTCAACTGTTTCACCACCGAAATTGGATCTAGTTCTCGTCCGAGTAAAATTTTATGTCTAATTGGCAATTTTAATGTTTTTTTTACCTAATTGGTGAATAAGATTTGCATTCCACCCAGTGTAGTCTATTGTACACAGACTGGTAAAAGTATAGATTTTCTGCAATTAAAACCAGTACATTTCATTTGGAGAAGGAAATAATATTCAAAAGATACATCAGGATGAAAAACTAACTCTCATAGATGAAAAAATTCACTGATTTCGATGTAATGCCTGAAAGTGGAAAAATGGTAACTATCACGGTCCTAATAACCAGAAAACTTGAGATCAATGGATTACTAGTTCATCTATATTAAGGAAAAATAAGTCCTAACAAGCACTTATTCTAATGTACAAATCAATATTAATGTTTTTGTCTCACTTCATAAACAGCTGTTAATATTTTCATTGTTATAAACATCTCAATTCACTGTCACAGGATTCATTTCTTTTCAGTATCATGTATATTTTTGTAAATATTTAAACCACATCTAGTTATTTAGTGCATTTTTCTATATTATCCAAATTTATAATACTAGTTTTTTTCGAAAATAATTACAAATGAACATCAATAATTATACTCAATTTTATTAACTAAATTCTGAACTACACATCTTATGCATAGATTAACGATAATGTTCATTTGTTTAAACCTTGGAAGATTCAGTAATATTTAAGACCTATAACAATTAATGATGTTCATATATCCAATTGCAGTATATTGTAATTCCACTTATTTTTTAATAAACTATTCTTATTTACTAAAATTTATATCATGTAAGTTTACGGATCAAGTAAAAAATAAAATCAAGTAATGAATTAATCATTCGAAATAACAATCGAAAAATCATAGTTCTTACAGTACACTCAATAAAAACATTTAAAACGTTTGTAATATATAAAGAAATTTTTCTATGTTAGAAGTAAAATGATCCCTTCTAATTTGAATCAATAATCATGTCACGAAGTGATTCAAATAACTTCTAACCTAAATTATTCCATTTTAAATAAAAGATATGAAAAATAATTTAAACAAAAAAAAAACATAAGAGATTTTTATATATGAACGTATACATGTAATATATCTGATTGTTTATGTTTACATAATTCACATTTACTTCTTTTTTCTTTCTGTTTTTCGCTTTTTTTTCTTAAATATTCTGTTGATTTTTCATCGACAACATGTATTCTTTTTAATATTTGCATCATTCTTTAAATTTTGAAGAGTTTGAAGTTCATAAACTTCTTTTTCTTTAAGTTTTCTTAAATAAATAAATGAGTAGAAATTATATTTTGAAATTTTCTATTCTTTATTTTAATAATTTATCTAATTATAGATGAAAGATTTGTTACATTATTAATATGAATACATTTATGATAATATTCAATTATCTTTTTAATTCAAGTAAAGTATAAGTGTAAATGATTAAACAGTTTGTTTATTTCAAATAAAAATGCTGATTGAACTTTACCATTAAACATTTCTTGTCAGTCAGTCAGCTACGATGTAGGACCAGGCATATATATATATATATATATATATATATATATATATATATATCGGTCCAAGTTACCTTACCGCATTAGCACAGCAAGATGAACACTGGATTCATAGAAGTAGTTAAGTCAATAGTGGTAATATATAAGAGAAAGATTGCATATAAGGATATAGTAAGGAAGAAAAAACTAGTACGTAGAAAGAAAGATATGAAGCGACTTTAATCTCTTAGTTTAAGGGATGATAGATAGTGTATACACCGACGCCATTGTGATCAGTTCTGAGCCATGTCACCAAGAGTCTCCAACGATTGGTTACGATAGTCACGCAGACCCCAACCAAGTAGTCTGCATCTTGTACCTGGATGATTTGTTATTTTATTCCCTTGATATTGTAATTGTATACATTGGTGAATGGATGAAGAAATCAATAGATTTTTGATTTTTGGAATTGTATATAGATTTGTTAGAATATTAAAATGGTTCGAATCCTAATTTTATGATGTAGAACTACCAGTCAGATGAAGGTATGTGAGCACATATAAGCATATCAAAGCCACTGATGCGACTTATAGGTCCTGAGTTTGAATCTCGTGGGGTGCAGGATCGTGGGTGTGCACTGCTGAGGATTCCCATACTAGGACGAAACGGCCATTCAGTGCTTCCAGGTTTTCCATGGTGGTCTAGCTTCAATTGACTCATGATTTCAACTATTGGAATCAACAAGTATTTAAGTGACTTAATTCAACTAATAGTTATCTGTCAGTCAATAAACAGATAGTTATTCACTTTGAAAAAAATGTTTATACTGCTACTGGTATAACAATTTGTCAAGATAGAGAATTTATTTTTGATATGGCAGAAATGACGATTTATTTAAGATTAAATAAGATAAACCACACAGTGGTTCATTAGTTACTACTTGTCTCAAGAAGTTGAGACCAAGTGACGATAGTCACGTGTGTGGATTTTATATTGCCGAAAATTTCTATTGATCTCAACTTTATAAATATTAAGTGGCCAATCACTAATTTTCAGTATCCGTTAAAGGTGTCTAAAGTCATCTGATGAATTTGATGGTAATTTTCGATAATGTAATAAGAAGACCGAGATTATCATAGTTCTGATAATCTCCGTCTTCTTATTACATTATCGAAATTTATCAAAGGGACTAATTGCTTTAAATTTGATAGTAATTATTTTACTTTTCCAAATAAAATGAATGATACATTTAAACACCTACACCTTATTTCAGTAAATTAAGTTCGGTTCAGATGCAACATATTTATGGACCAAACATTGATCCCACCATTGATTTGCAAATGATCCAATGTGGGAAGTGTCAGGAACAAGAAGAAAACTAATTCAGTAGTTTGGTTATATTTGTTAATTGAATCTGTTTTTTTTTCTGCGGTCATAAAAAATAACCATGTCGGTACCAATATTTTACCAAAATACGACCGAAGATAATAGTTATCAAATGATCAGTAATTGGCTCTTAACACGTCTTTAACAATTAATAAAACTTAGAACGTTTCAATTTCAACAAGTCAGATATTGATTTGTTTAAACGATGTCACTAAAATTTTCTCAGGACTATAACTCATGGATAAACCGATTTAAGATAACGACTATTGAGTTAATTTACCTAAATAGCTAAATAATATTTTAACTTCACAGCTGATTTCAATTTGTGATGAAAACTTAATTTAATTCCTAACCATAGCTACTAACTGGAACTCATAATCCTAATTCCTCACAGTAATTCATGACCCTGTTTTGACCCTAGTAGGTAGACAAAGTATTTTGAGGCTACTTTAGTATCGCTCAAACGTTATCTATAAGTTATAGTCTTTCCGAAGAATGTTTTAAGCTTCCATTTCAGTGCAAAAAGGGTTTGGATGAATTGAAACAGTGTTTTCTCTTCCTACCTTATCATAACATCGGACTCTATAGAAAGAGATGTCTTATGAAATGAATTCTTTTACAATATACTGGGAATTATATGTTCACACATAACGGACGAGTAATATTAAATACTTTTACCTTGCCATAACCATAAACGCCTCTTCTATATTGTGTCCAGTTTTTGCACTGACTTCAAAGCACATTGTTTTATAAACCTGTAGATTTAATAATTAAAATTTATTTCTGATACAATTAAGTGGAAGCATACAGATTTGAGTTGAAGATGAACTTCAGTTAAGATACAAATTATTTTAGGACTCAAACTTAGTCAGGATAAATTATCCATATTTAAAGAAAATACTGTAGCCAAGTATACCAGTCGACAAATGAAGAACAATTTGTTTTCGTGCAATGTTCGAGAAATCACTCCAAATATTGAAGTTAGCTTTATAGTATGAATATATCTATGTTTTCTCAGTGTTCAATAAATGTTCAGTTTCGAAAGCTTCCGAGCTGTTTTCCGATTTTATTAGCCCTAACTTTTAAAATCTACTTTAAATCTAAGTTTAAAAGGAGTTATTTGTTAAATAATATTGTTTTGGGATTATACCGCAACCTTGGTGAAAAAGATGAAGACAACTATATCATTTTTTAAATTCTAAGTAAAAATAATTATTGATGTACAGACTGCCTTAGCCGGAGATATTCATTTTCTTCAAAAATAAAAATACTCAACGCAGCGGAGAGGTTACAGCGAAATTTTATAAACTTGAAGCATGACACAGTCAAATTTACAATCACAACATGACATTATAATTTGTTATAAGGCCTTGTGGAGGTCTGTACAAAATCCCAATACTAATGTGACACTTGGATTGTCATTTTTAATATTGAATATATCTGTTGTATATGTATTCATGCATGGTTATCAGTGGGATTGTTATTGTTGTATGGGCCTGTCCACTTATCATATTCTCTGACTTCTTTAACCATGCATAAGGTCACTTGGAGACTCGTGTGAACGTATGTCCAACAGCTTAAGCTTCCTCTATTCACTGTGCTTATTGTTTGTTTGCTCATGTGAAGGCACGAAATATGACTTTCTAGCAGCATTTCGCATTTGACTTCTAAATACCACCGTTGTATAAAGGCAATTAGCCGAAATTTGAAAAATGAAATTATGTATGAGATATATTTCATCCTTATTAATTAGAGTCATGATTCAGGTTACAAAGTGGTTGAGCACTTTGACTACAAAAGTAGCTAGCCTAAACTCAATGCAGCCTGCCTATGATAAGTTAACCACAGAAAAGTGACCATAAGTTTACTGTTAAAATTTTCATGTCAATATTATTATCACCACCTGCGTAGTTCTTTAAAATCGCTGAAACACTAGTTACAAATATTCTCTGCCACTAAGACATCTGAATACTCACTAATAAATTCTCCGTGGCCACAAATGATCTAGTCTAATAAGCACAAAAACACACCCCACTAAAGAATCCAATCAATTACTTAAGTTAAAATACAAATCAGTAGCACTTATTGCTCTAAGTCATCAGTAGAGCTGGGGTTCACCGTATATATATACTTTTACTAATACAAATTCCATGAATCAATACACATGGAGTTTTCGAGAAATTTTTGTCTTTATAATATGAAATACTAAATGTTTATGTGGTATATAAATAATTCTCGGTAATCTGGTGAATATTTTAATTTAAATCACTGCTACACAGAGAACTTACTCGAACAATTTTATCAATAGTAGCTCGCGATACTGCACGTTTATTATCATTTTCTTCAATGAGATCAGACTTATTTTCAAGAATTAAGATAACGGTATTCTCGTCTGTTTCTTCGGTAACCGATTGAAGCCATGACCGGACGGCTAAAAAACTTGATTCGTTAGTTGCATCGAAGACAATAATTACACCATCTGATTTACGATAATATTGTCGCGTAATACTTCTGAATCTGCAAGTTTGTCAAAGTTTAGTTTTTTTACTTCAAAATGTTATACTACTTAGAAGTAGTTAAAAACTTTCAATTATGTTTTTGGAACTTTTTGAATGCAGACTAATTTCTCATGAAAACTGAACATTAAAAAATAGATTTGACTAAAGAGTTTTTCCGATATTTCTGAATTCCTAAAGAGGATTTCGCATATCATAATAGTGTGTACCGTACATATTTTTGAAAATTTATGGATTCTCAAGGAAATTTCCACGTACGTTGACAGTGCAATGGATATGTATTGACAGTAATTACTAGAACTCAACCAATATGAGCTATCAACAAAGCAGCCGTCTTGTAGTTAATTTCCACCAATCACTCAATAGTGAATTTACTTTTGAAGGAGAGAACTTCACCACATTCGAAACACGGACATAAGCTGTGACCATAGGTTGTCAAAACGAGGGAAGTGGACGTGGAAATTTCAACAGCTGTATTCAATATGGTTTGATTTATAGTGGTTGCAAGATTCTCTTGGTATCATTCATAGAATCTTGCTGTATTCTCCAAAAAGGCATAAGAAGATCTGTAATCTTGGAGCCAAAAATACTTGTACAAAAACAATTCATCTACTGTCTTTTGACTTTTACTCATTATTTATTATTACTTGTACTAAGTACACTTAAAAAGTAGCCATTTCGGATGATTCTTCTACTAGTTTATTTTCTGATTTTTTGGGGAAATTTATTTTTAGATGTGTACTCACGAGATTAATTGATATCCATGCGGGTCTTAATCTAAACTTTGTAAACAATTTTAATATTGTTTTCAATAATGGTATTAGATTTCCAAATTTGTTTGAACTCTGATTCCAGAAATGCCCTCATGTAACTTGCTTATTCAGTTTGAATTCTCGAACGAATTCTATAATAATGATAATGCTCGTTATTTTTGTCGAATTCATATCTATCTAAACCTATTGATAAGTCGAATACGCTTCGCTATGATGTTATGTGAGCAGTAAAACTATAGAATTATGCAGAATGATTTTGAGATTTTGACGCGGTTTATCCAATCAGAAAATAGCAAACCTAAATAGATAATTATCTGAAGGGGTTTTGTGGATATTATAGTATTTCCAATGGTTGAGATCATGAGTCAGTTGAAGCTAGACCACCATGGAAAACCTGGAAGCACTGGACGGTCGTTTCGTCCTATTGTGGGTGCGTACTGTTGAGGAGTCCCATACTAGGACGAAACGGCCGTCCAGTGCTTCCAGGTTTTCCATGGTGGTCTAGCTTCAACTGACTCATGATCTCAACCATTGAGATAATTATCTATTAAATATTGAAAATATACTAATTTTATATGAATAAGATGCTTTTTGCAGGTGTCTGTGGGCTCTCTAACGTAACATATTAAACCTAACTTACACACCCTTTATGGAGTACAATGAAATATCAATTTGTCTCGTACTTCTGAATATAAATTAAATGTCATTTCATACAAACGTTTTCATTTTAGTGTTTTCTTTGACATTCCAACTTTCAGTTAACATTTTATTACGACATTTTCTTTACTAAAATTCTTCATCAAGCAATCAATCGTAAATTCTCATTTCCTTTATTGCTAAATAAACGACGCGATTGACTGACGCTGATAATCATGTTGTTGATTATTTGTTTTTGATTGGTTCTGCGATATTCTTTAAGTTTAGCCCAAATTAATTTTAAATGTAAGTAGAAAAAATCTAGTGATTTTTCCCATTAATAATGTACTTTAATGTAGGTCAAAAACACTTATGTCACTTATATCACTTGAGAAAATATTTTATATCTTTTGTATATAACACATTATTCTTCCTTATTTCTTTCTATTCACAATTTAAAGGGACTTAATGTATTGTAAATAAGGTTTTGTAATGAACTCGAACATTTATTATTGTGTGTAAATACAGTTATAAAATGGTCGAACTTTTAGAGATCATGTTTGCCTAAAGAAACAGAATGAATTCTGTGACTTAGTAAGAATATAAAGATTATAAAAAATTTCAGGATCTTGTAAACCTGTCTAGTAAACGAATGTTAGTGGAGAAGGGAACCATATTCACTTTTATTTTAGGTCAATTCATTGAACTTCGACAGTTAAAGCTTGATGGAGAGATTTTGGTTCCATGCTAATGATCGTCTATGAGATTTCTTATTTTCTCCATCTTCCAGTAAATTTGTAGGCTGAAATTAGTCTCAGTATGCTTCAAAATAAGATTAATAATTACTGTACTACAAATAGCTTTGGTGATCGAAATCACTTTCAAATAAAATATATGGTAGAAAAAATATTTTTTGTAATCTTCAAAACCATAATAGCTAATCTAATATTAAATATTAAGATTCATTAAAACCACATTAAATTAGGAAAACCGTGTATACATAACTAATCTGAGCTTACATGTAAGTGTTTCACATAATTCATTTGTTTAAAAGGATTTATGTAGGAATATCTAATCTTGTAGTAATTCTAAATATAACTTTCTCAAAATGCTAGAGTTAAAACATTAACAAATAATGTTTGACATTAATTGGAAAATAAAGTTTAGAATTGAAGCTTCGATCTATTACCTGCTAATTATTCAAATTTATTTTATTTTATTCAAACACATTGACATTAGTACAAGGAGGCATTGAATACATATGCGCCACATACATCATTCTATTTATGTGAGGGCTGGGATATTGCCCGGGTGACCAAACCGAAGCAGGTGGTTTTTAGGGGACTACACTTCGAGACATCGACCTAAATATCTGATCCACAAGTCAGTAGGGCAACGTCCGCAGATGCAGTCACACGGTAGCCAGTTACTAATGATTGGTTCATAGGCCATTTGTTTTCTTCAAGATCCTGGAGCACATGTGGACCGTTGATTTAGAATCAGGGTTTTCCAACTCCCCTAGGTAGATTCTCCACTTCCACTAACCCGGTTAAAGAGCCTGACATTCGCTTTTCCATCCTCTCAATTTCGTAAACAACACTCCCGCCGTGAGAAGGCAATGAGTAGGACTTCCATGACGGTGGTTGTATGCAAATAGCTGTATGAGGGCATTTGGAGAGGGAGAGCTGACTCTTCCCCGTCTCGGCCGTACCAAGGCATGAATGATCCTAATGAAAATAGAGTCTATCAGTTATCAGTTTAAACGTCAATAAATACATAAATAAATAAACACCCTATAACAAAATTAATGCATGATCTTTCGTTTACAAGAGTGAGACAGTGTTAAGTGAAAACGTAATCATATCTGAAAAGCGACAGAAGTTGTAAATATAAGTCACTATTTATTGGTTGAGTAATGCGGTTTTTTGTGTTATATGTGACTGTAATGGAGTCTATCCCGTATAGCGCTTTAAATGTAAACTGGTGAATAGTTTTTAGTCAGGATGAAATAATTTTCCACTAATTTCGAATAATTTTTAAAATAGTTCAATATGTGACATCACTTTAGATTAAAATTACTTCATTGATTGTAGACAATCTTCAAAAGAAAAGAATAACTGTGTATATATATTTCCTTTTCTAGAGAATCTAATTATCATAGTAAATGAAACCGTATCATTCCTGAGGTTGGAACTGATATTTTCAAATAAATTAAGCGTCGATTGAAACGTTTGTATGAAAAGGGTAATTTATTCATATTGTCACAGCCGGTAGAATGTTGAGCTTTTAGTGTTAAACAGTTTAATGTAAGTCACGGAAGAAATAACCTACGTTATTCACCGGAAATGTTTAAATTTCACTTTTGAACTCGTTCGCATATTACAAACATATGATTGTTTTCGTTATAATAGTTGTGATTTTATATTTCACATGTATATTAGGAAATAGACAAATTTAGTTAACTGTGTAGTAGTCATAACAACTCTATATATACCTTGCTAAAAAACTCAACCAGAATGTCCTCAAAAGAATGAATTACTCAAGATAAGTAAAGTAGAAACAAGTACTGATCCCAAAGAAGCTGAGATAGATGGAGAGTGAAAATATACAATTACAAGTAGGAGAATGAATCAAATTGAAATATAAGTCTGCAGGATAACTAGCTGCAACAGGTATTTGAAATCCAGTACAATAAACAAACTTTCGAAATTCGTAGTTATCAGAAGGGGTTTTGTGGAGATTGTAGTAATTTCAATCATTAAGATCGTGAGTCAGTTCGAATCTCGCAGGGGGCGAGGTCGTGGATGCGCACTGCTGAGGAGTCCCATACTAGGACGAAACGGCCGTCCAGTGCTTCCAGGTTTTCCATGGTGGTCTAGCTTCAACTGACTCATGATCTTAATGATTGAAATTTGTAGTTACAAAACTGGTTACTTTCTATTTTTAAGTAGCATAAGTACTGACTGCTAAAACATAACCAACGAAGGAATGGGGTTATTAGTAGCAGGCCTGTAAAATACCACTTTTTATTTAATGAATGTATTCTGATGGAAATTTTATTATTAGAAAAAATTGACTAAATATTTTATTAAATCATTTTGGGATAACAACTGATTTGTGCTGTGTACAAATTGGTACTCTATAACTAAATGTAATCTATGGTGGCTACTATCGTAATATGTTAACAAGTTGGCTTCAGCGACGTAGTGGTGTGTATTCTTTAAATTTTTCTAAATATCAAATATCTTATCATTATGAAACTAAATTTTATTCTTCACTCTGTTACCTCACGATTGTTTCACTGACCCCCCTTTTTTATTAATGTCACTTTATTGTATATTGTCCTATTGATTTCATCTTGTTTTAGTAATGCTATCAAGTCTTTATATTAGATTATATGTTGTTTCTCTTCAAGGTAACAAACTACTTCAATCTTCTTATGGTATGAAACTGTGCTACAAGTATGTCCTTTAATCCCGAATTCGGAGGTTCTAAACTATTCACTACTTTAAAATTAGATGTCTGAGAATAAAGCTAACCGGTGCATTAATAGTAATCATACAAATACTTTAAACTATTGGATATGTACAGTAATAAAGCAATCTGAAAGGCTTCTCTGAAAACCCTGCAAAATTTATTTTACAGGAGCTATATTACTATATATCCTTCAATCAAATACCATCAGGATAGAGACAGAAATTCAATTCGAAAATTTATTTGACTAATTGAAAGGTTTGTTTAGATTGAATGAGGAAAAGAAGGATTGGTTAAAATCAACGCTAGTTGATATTGCGAACCAATATCTCATTTTGCCCTCACTTACATTAAAAATATTGTCCGAAGAACACCTGACAGCAACAAGAAACCTTGAGCGAAATGTTGATGTAGTGATATTTCTGTCAAACAAAGGTTCAGATTTTGTCCTTGTGAACATTCAAGATGCAAGGTAGATAAACGTAACACGAACTAGACTGACTCAACGGAAAGAAGAAATCATGAATGTGCTCAGAAAATTCCTGAGGTAGATAATAATTGATTGTTCCAGCTACAATAATCTAAAGCCTACGGGTCTCGTTTGCTCCATATGTATGGTTTACTAAAAGTGAATAAACAAGCTGTATCATTTAACCGTATTTTGTCGATGGCTAATTCACCTTACTGAAAAGGTTACCCACTGGTTAGCTGAGAAATAAAAGCGATTTCATCAACTGCTAGCTATATGCTTATTTAAAGATTCATTTCAACTTGTGGAGAGTATGAATCGTGTAAACACTTCTGCTAATTAGATGGTTTCTTTTGATAAACTATCCCGTCAGTTACTAAAACTTACTAGTCTAAACACTATTTCTTGGAACATTGAGGGTACACCAGAAGTGAAAATGATAAATGTTAAAAATGTCTAAAAAACGGATGACCCTAGAAATTTATTGAGAAATACGGAAAAAGATTAAAAAAACCGGAAGGAATTATGCTAAGCAGAAAACCTATTTTTATTCTACCATAATCCAAAGGTGACGACGTTACAGGGAATATCGATGGAAGACTAAAAGCTCCATTAACCAAAACATGGACAACAATTAAACTGACTTTCATGTACAAAAACACGCGTACTTCAACTCAATCGAAGATCGATGGGTACTCCATTCATGTCATAGCCAAGTGCATGTAAGAAACTATATGTATCTACCGGAGCGGCTGCATTGTGGGAACAGAAACAAGGGTTGAAGTTCTGAGGTCAAACGGATGAAAGGCTTTTAGAGTAATAGTTGAAGACGTCTTGATATAAGACATCAAATTGGTACGCTGAAGTCTTTTAATGTTATTAATAATATTAGTATTATTATATTTGCTAAGGCCGTAAGTATCAAACGTCTGAAAGTGGACTTGTGTATTCAAGAAGAGACAGTGATAAATCTGCATGTACCGTCGCAAAATTTCACTCATTTTATTACGTCACTATTCATTTAAACCCTTTCCCATAGTGTTATATCCCGACGAGAATTATGAATGGTAACTTTTGAGAACTCTTTATGAACCAATACGATACATATATTTTCATTTTATAATTGTCAAGTCGCTAAATTATGTATATTCATGTTCCCCTTATTGTAAGCTTTATTTTGACCCAAAAATTTACCGTTCTTGAGTTATGCCCAGTCTATTAATTACAGACCCCCAAATTCACAGCCACTTTTGGCTAGATTTTGTACAAATGTAGTTTTCTATTTTGTAGTGCAATCTTGTATGTTTGGTTTGTATATAAACTCAGTATATTTGAAATACATGATTCATATCGCAGAGGTTGAGATTGGTGTTCTGAACTCAACGAGCAGGACTAGGTAGGAATAAGAACCGATAAGGACTCTCGACTGGTCGTACGGGTTTTATGCGTCACTGATCCGGTTGATAAATTACTGTTCTCTAATTACGTTACATATTATTAGGACCCAAAACCACAAATTACAACACATAGTTCCATTATATCATTTTTGTTTTCTATTGAATTTTTAATTTTATTTCCATCTGACCTAATTCAATTCATGTTAATTTTTTACTACCATTACTGTGTTCAGTTAATTTAGTACCAAAATTTTTGTTTTATGATCATTTGATTACTAGTTTTGATCATTTGAAATTTTCCCTTTCATATTGTACTTCTCTTAAATAATTTTTATGGTTCTATTAATTCTATTGATGTATTCACTCGATCACGCTATACATATTCATTTATAGTTCACTTCACTTTTATAAATATGTCAACTTCTACAATAGTTTTGATTTTAAAATATTATAGACTGTAAGTAACTATTCAACACAACATGCACGAATCCAGTCACAATTAACAGAGAAGATTTGGAAGATGTGAAGACCTCTACATATTTGGGCAGCATCATTGCTGAACACGGTGAATCTGATGCAGATGTGAAGGCGCGAATCGGCAAAGCAAGAGCAGCATATTTACAACTGAAGAACATCTGGAACTCAAAACCATTGACAACTAACACCAAGGTCAGGACTTTCAATACAAATGTCAAGACAGTTCTACTGTATGGGGCCGAAACCTGGAAAACTACGAAATCCATCATCCAGAAGATACAGGTGTTTATTAACAGTTGTCTACGCAAAATACTTTGGATCCGTTGGCCGGACACTATTAGCAACAACCTACTATGGGAGAGAACAAACCAGATCCTAGTGGAAGAAGAAATCAGGAAGAAGCGCTGGAAGTGGATAGGACACACATTGAGGAAAGTACCCGACTGCTTCACAAGACAAGCCCTCACATGAAATCCTCAAGGCCAAATGAAAAGAGAAAGACCAAAGGACACATTACACCGGGAAATAGAGATAGACATGAGAAAAACGGACAAGAAATGGATGGAACTAGAAAAAAGGCCTAGGACAGAGTGGGTTGGGGAATACTGGTCAGCGGCCTATGCTCCATTAGGAGTAACAGGCGTAAGTAAGTAAGTAAGTAAGCTAATATGAATCTAACATAATAAAATGAATGTTATTCTGCTCAAATCTTTACATTTTCTTGCTTCAAAATAAAGGAAACTACGTGTATGAAACAAAATAACGATTGCCACTACATATAGTTTTAATATACCAATTGAAGCTATATGCATTTCATATCCATTTATCAAGTGTTTAACATAAGCAAAAAGATAAAAATAAGTGACCTTGTGAATTTGTCTATTTTAAGTAGTATATGAGTCACTAGTTGATTGGTCCATAATATTTAAATGTAAAAATGATTGGTTGTATTCATTCTAGTGATTCATATATTTACATTTGTTAAATATTAAATAAAATAAAAGAATGAAATAAAGCTTAGATAAAAGAAAGGAGAAGGAAGATAAACTGATATGAGCTAGTGAATGGAAAAGTGAAACATAGTTAAATACATTTATAGATATACATATTTATGCATTTATATGAACTTACTTCTCTTGTCCAGCTGTATCCCATAATTGTAGATACAAATTAGTCCCATCGCAATGCATAAATTTCACGTGAAAATCAATTGCCACAGTTAATGGAAGATTTAAATCAAATACACCAGATACAAATTTTCGTATAATACTTGATTTTCCAACACCTGAATCACCAACAAATATAACTTTGTAGACACGTTCAGCAAATGATCCATTCTTTTTAAATATAGGTAAACAATATGAATAAAATGAAAAAAGAATGACAACACATCAACAACTGAAGAGAATTATTAATACACAATCAATATTAGTCAGGAAACCATTGAAATACGAAAGACAAAAAGTAAACACTTTTTTTAAATTTTAATCATTTATGTTGTTGTATCCTAATAACATGTCTTCGATCCAATCCAGGTATCTCTACTTTTCGGAAAGTTGTGGTTTGTTTTAACAGAGGTAACGATGGAAGAGGAGGGATACGTTTGGTAATGTCATCGAAAGGAATTTTTTAAGTATGTTGGTCTTCTTAATATTTACCATCAGTTGATATTTGTATCTATGACCCTATATAGAACCAGATCCAGTATTCTCAGGTTTTCTTATGAGAACGATATTAGTGAACCGATTATCTAACAACACGGTAGACCTGTGTAGTCACCATAATTATTATTTTCAATAAAATGTACGTTTTAATAAGATTAAGTTTGTAGAAACCTGAAACTCCAACAAGTAGAAGTATATTTCTTTTTGAATGAACAAGGATTTAGAAAACAAAACGAGTAACAAATCAATTTACAAACAATATTGTCCATAACAGGGTTTAATACCGAGCTATATATGTAAACCTACTTTGCTATTTAAAGATTATTCAATAGTTTGTATGTCAAGTGACAGAAAAGTTACTCACAGTGGTCGAGTCAGCATTTGAGCTCATGTAAGAGGCTCCGTCAGGTGAAACTCTTCTTCCACTACATATATAAGTGAATTAAAAACAGCAGTTATTAATAAAAATGTTTTCAGTTTGATGGTTATGATAGTTGTTTATAATGTACAACAATACTTTCATTACAAATTAATATTAATTGACACAGTTATCGAAAATCGAAAAGTACTAAACAGCAGGTTAGTCCTCATTAATAACTATTCAGCAATACGAACCCGATATTTTCCACATTGTTGAATCTGGTAGATATTATTCAGTTATTGAATAATGGTTCAGTATATTTCAGGTTCAACTTTAGTCAATTCAGTATATAATATCAATATCATTCCATATCATTACTAGTCATTCATTTTACACAACTCTATTGATTCATGAGATTATACCTTCTTATTTTGGATTCGGTGTCAAATAGAATGATAAATTATCATTAGATTATAATTTATTATGACGTTTCTAGTGATCGCTTAAACATCTCGTTGAAGAAATAGATAATACATTGTATTTAGAAAAGGCATTTATAGGAGTATGACTTATTCAATGAGTTTATATGCATGATATTAAAATTCGAACAAACTATTAAATTGTGAAGAATAGTTTTTCATTAAGTGAATTAGATATTATTGAAGATAAAAATGGACTTTCTAAGCGTGTTATTTTTCAAGAAAGTTTTAATAAAACTTTTTTTTTTGGAATTTGTCAACACATTTAAACTAATAATCATTCTAATTTTGCTTTTGTCAAGAAAGGTTACTCTATTGGTAAGTGATCGAATATTTGGGTGCTCAGTACCCATTCACTGTGTTTTTTGACTTAATACCTTGTTAATTGGGATTTATCGACGCCACTGAACATATTTGGATTCATATTTATTACCAACATATTAAAACAGAAGCATATCCTAAAATAGTGATGGAAAGTACCTTTTAGTTAGCTAAATGTTGTTGAGTAACTATTAACTTATGAACTCTAATAAAAGTAATAATAATAATAGGGATAGTGATAATCAATCAACTCACTTTGGCATATAGCGTACTTCCGCTGAATCATTCATATATGCTCGAGATTTCTGTGAAGTTTTTCGAATACGAGGGGTATATATACTGCCAGGATCTGTAATAAGTTACTTATAAGAGATTTTCTAAAAATAAAGTATGATCTACATTGGTTGAAAACTTCTTCGTATTCTTCAGCTTCATCAATATTTCCAAGATCTCCTTCACGTATACTGTCATCATTTAGTCTAAAGTAATGCCAAATTAAAATGTAGAATCTATATTTAAAAATCTATACAGTCAATTACTTGTTCCTCCTCTTTCTAGGGACTTAGATAGTTTTGATTTGGAATTTGACGATTCACACTAACTTGCTTCTTTATGTTGTTTGTAAAACCATCTTTCTGTGTTCGAAACCGATTTCGAAATGTCAATCAAACATATTTTTAATCAATTAAATATTTCAATGTATTAATCAAATATACACATTAGAGTTATCTTGAAACAATTCACTTTAGTTATAAATATAATGAAGTTTTTAGTTTAGGTGCTAAACAATAAGGATTTTCTTATGATTGTGGGGTTGTGCAATATTTTTTAAAATCTCTGTCAGTATGGGGAGTTATGTAGATTGTAGTATTTTTACAGTTGAATTCACTAGTCGATCCAAGCTAGACAACCCTGGAAGCACTGAATGGTCGTTTCGTACTAGTAAAGGACTCCTCAGCAGTGGATTCGAGTTCCAAGAGCGGGATTGTGAATGCCGACTACTGTGGAGTACCGTAATAGAACGAAACGGCTGTCCAGTGCTTTCAGGTTTTCAATCGTTGTCTGGCTTAGATTGACTCGTGAATTCAGCTATAAAAACAATGTATTAACTACCGTAGTTAGTGAGTAATACTGATAATTTGGATTTGGAATATTATTTAATGTACTCGTTTGATAAATAAATAGCTACCTAAATGATACATCATAATAAATAGTTACAGAGATGCATCCATGATTCTCAATGATTTATTGAACTGAACTTATCTAACTTACTACTAATATGATTTGAGCAGTAATATCATTGAAATAAAAATTTAATCCAAAAATTTATAAAATCACCAATGAACGTTAGACTTACATTACTGGTGTGAAATAATTACTCAGTGTAGAACCTCTTCTCGCATCTGCAATCTCAAAATTTGTTGCATCCAAATCAGTTGAACTACATAGTAAATGTGGTAAAGCGGCAGTATCTTTTATTGTTGTCTCTGAAGTTTTTGCACTGGTCATATCAAGTGATTGTGATTTACTGTGAAAATCACGTAAATCAACCGTTTGTGATGTTTCTTTTACTGCGTAAAGTGTTTGGGATTTAAACTCTTGTTCATCAACTAACTTTTGATTAATAGTCCTATATAAAGAAGATAAAAAACTTTAGAAGTCAGTTAGTTTTTCTAAGGACTCTATACTGGATGAAGTGATATTAGTTGAAGAAAAGTAGAGAACAGCTCATTTTCTCATGATAATTTACTTATTTCAAGTTGTTACAAGAATAAAAGCCAATGATTACATACTTCAAAGTTGGATTATTTCCCACAGAAGAAGAGGATTTGTAACTCTATTTCAGATAAGGATGGAGTATATTTACAGACAAGAACCAGACTTAAGCGAATTTCGGTAAATACGTCTATGTTAAACCTGTGGGCTTCTTTATTCTATTCACAAACGGATAGAGATGGATTATAAAGAAGTTTCAGACCTATCCAATAAAATAATAATAGGAAATTGATTTCAATGTTTGGAAACAGTCAGTATGAAACCCTGACTTTAGTTTTCCTTACAGTTAGCATTCTTCAGTAAGGCATATCTGACATCTTGTGTAAGATGATGCTCCTAATGGAGTTATACATTGATGTCTCTAAGTGTTACAATTAGAGATGTTACTACTAAATCATGCAAATCTCAATTAACCTATTTCTAAATGTGTTGACGATTGTCTAGCCATTAGTTTACAACTTGATCGATAGGATCAATCGATAGAGAATAGAAAACATGACACAATTAATGTTGGGATATTTTGTCACACCCTAGATATTTCTTTTCTATTCGTTTTGTGTTGATTTTCTTTAGCTTATAAAGTAAAATATTAAATATTTCAGTTCTTCATAAATTTGAATTCCCTTTGATTTCAGATAAAAGTAATTAATCTATGGTAACAAAAAACACATTTGTTTAAATTTTGTGAAACATCCAGTATAATGTGTGATATTTAGTAATGATTTAACAGATACAGTAAACCATGGAATAAAATTTTTTTTGGTTAAATATACTACATAATGTTCATGTGTATTAACTGATTTTCATCAGCTGTTATTATATAATAATTAGGTTATGATAATGATTATAATTTTATTATTTTTTAAAAATACTTGTTGAAGAGTAAATTAGGGAATAGAGTAGAATATATTTCTGAATTTTTGCCAAATGGATTTTATACCAAAATGGAAATAAGTGGCTGTAACTACTGTTTACATTATAGGTAGATATCCACTAGAATGATATTTGAACAATGTCATCAAGTTATTAGTTTTTTTTAAAAAGCAAATGATTAATGGCGTGGTCACTGTGATAATTCAAACTGATCAACTTGAATCTATATAATATCGTGAGTGTTTACTTCTGTCTATTTTTATCATCAAGTTTCAAATTAGAAAGAAACTTGACTATAAGAGATTAATTAGACATATAGTATTCAATTCATGTATCTTACATCTTTTTGTAACAACAGACAAGGTATTAATCTTCACAATCAATTCATCTGAATAATGAACTTGTCTATTTTGATAACTAACATAGAAATATTTCTTGTGAAATATCATACTGGCTCGACTTTTATGGAGTGAGACAATCGCACTTGATGATATTGGTGCTATATTACAAGTCAATTAAAGTTTAGAATATGGAACGTTGGATTTCAAATCATACACTTAAAGGCAACAGCTTCGATGTAAAGTTTGGAGACCATGGGTTCGACCTCCAACCGGGTGATGGGTGCATGCTACTGAGTTCTATACAGATACATAACAGTTGCACAATTTGCTCTGGTTTTCGGTGGTTTTTTGAGTTGAAGTCGATTAGTCATGATAGTACCTATCAGACTAAACTATTATCCACCTCTAATTTAGTTTCAGAAATCACACTTTATCTACTTATCTTTTAAAATGCTATGGTAGTGTAATGGCTTTGTTTCGTTAAACGATCACTTCGATAACCGTCATAATATAAATCTCAACGGTGATTAAAATCAGAAGGCAATGAGAAGCGGCAACTTCAGTTTATTAGCGGATAGCGCAGATCACAAAGTTATGATCATATCGAGCGAATTTGAAGCGGAGAGTAGAGAATAAGTAAATGCGAGCAATGACATAAGCAAATTTATAGTCAAATTGCATAAAGGTTCAGAAAGGCAAAGCAAGGACTAATAATAGGATTCGAGTACATACATAGATGTGGAGAAGGATGAATCATCGAGTAATATTTTAGCAGTCAACATTTTAGCTAGTATTTGTCATGTGCTCTAGTGATCATAATAGTACAAAGAAATATGCGAATCATTACTGTTCAAATAACATTGTCTGTTAAGTAAGTTAATAAAAGGACCTAACCAAAATTAACCATAATCGAAATTGGTTGTAGGATAGTTGCTATAATATCATAACTTGAATATTATGTCTGAAAAGAGCATGACAACATACTATGACTCTGGAATCAACATCCGAACTTATGATGACAAGTTAATGAGTTATATTTATCTCCTACGTATTTATCTACAGTCGTGTAATCAACAACCTAACAAACAATATCAATCATAAGCTATTTTACACTTATTTAATCATTTTAACTATAATTTTAACATATTTAAACTACGTTCAATTATTGAATGTAATTTATTGTTATTTCAATTCATTCACAGTTGATAACATGGTGTTAAGCAAAAACCATACACAGACACATACACACACACTAAAATTAGCTTGAGATTACTAACAATAACTGATTAATCAGGTTTATGGATAGAAAAAAACGTTATGTTATTGCATAGAGTGTACTAAAATACTAATGATAGTTTTTAAAGTATTTCACACTGATTATAATTAATTGATATTAGTTAATTGATTATATTGATTAATGATCTAATTAAATGTTACTAAATTAGTTACAAAGAATCATAACAAATGTTTATCTAAATTTGTAATTTATATTATATTATATAGTAAATATTCATTTAGGTGATGTAATAAATGATGAATAATTGGCCTTTTTATAACCTTCAAATTTAAAGTATATTTTTACGTTAATTAAATTGAATCCTCTTAGTTTTATTTTGGTTAATCAATCAGTCTAATATATTACTAGCATAATAGTTATATAAGTAGTATATAAATCTATTAAATAAACATATATTTGATAGTAAAAATGTTTGGATTTTCAGATTTATTCATTTTATTGTTATCGATATTATGTTTGGAATGTTGATGGAATGGAAATGAATCAAAAGGTAAATAGTTAGTACGTTTTGTGTATAAAAGAGTTTAGTACCGTTTCTAAAGAGTAGTGTTGAGATTAATGAGAATAATGTATACATTTAAGAATTTTTTCCATTTTATACAAAATAATGGGTGACGTTTTAGGGAAAATAATGAATATAAACTGAACAATTTATTGTATACTGTTGCAGTGTGAGATACTTATATCCACATAAGTAGTATATAACGATAGTTAGGAATAGAATGTATTTCAGTAGAAGATTGGGAAGAATAGAACGGAAACGGAGAGCAATTGGTATGGAAATGCAGAAACAATGAAATCTGATACGATGGATTGATATTTTGTAAATTAAGCATTTACTGTATTGTTCTCAGGTTTTAGTGAGATGTTCTGTAATTTTGTGCTCAAATACATTCGATTGTCACCACTCCTGTTCTTGATCACTGCACTATAATTAAGTGGATTTATAACTATGATTCACATTCCACTCTGCGACTATACAATCATACGTGAAAATATTGTTAATTATAAAAGTTTAATTGATCCTGGTACTGAATATGGACATACCTTAACATATCGAGTTGTCTTACTAATGTTTCACGTTCTAATGCTATACCTTCACTAAGCTCTATTGCTGCTTTTGCTCTACGTCGACGTTCTTCACGTGCTTTCTTCTGCAGTGTATCAATATAATCTTTACATTCATTTAACATTTCTTGTGATTCTTCTAATTTACGTTCTAGATCTTCTTTTTCTTGTAATAATTTCTCTTTTTCTTGAGCAATGCTCATTCGATTCTTTTGAAGTTCTTCTACTTTGCTAGAAGCCTGTAAAGATATCATTGAGTAAAGATAAAAATTACACAAATATACATATTTTTGCTCTGAATCTCATCATTACAAGCAATAATTTAGGTTTAAATAAATATAAAGATAGCTTTTATTACCAAATAAAATCGACTGAATGATAATATTGCTTTTGCTCCAAGCCCAGCCATAGGTCGAGCTCAGAACTGTCAGACCCAGAGAAATATATCAAATCTTCAGTGGAAAATAAATTGAGAATGTGATCTTTGGGTTATAATTTAACCCCAGATCTAAATGAACTCAGTGGTCATGAAACCTAACTAAAGGGTAAGAAGTCATCTTCAAACCAGCTTTACTGTCTAGGTAGTTAGTATATAAAATTCTGGGTCTTATACAATTTGTTTTCATAGTATATATTACCTAATAATTTTCGAGTGAAAATTGACATTCTGTGTTTATATAATCCATGTTGACTCGTAATGAAATATATTTTCACAAATAGGCACGTTAGTATTACTACATATCATAATATATGAAAACTAGTTTACGTTTGATTAACTTAGTCTTTACCCTAAAGGTGTTTAGTAGTCAGAAAATGGAGCAACATATTTATTTTCATTAGAATCTTATTGATCACCAAAGTTATGACTATTAGAGCAGTGTATTTTTTTATAATGCCATAACAAACAAATTTGCCAGCTCTTACAAATAACTTAAAGAAAAATTTAGGACAATAAAGGAAATCAACTGCAAAATGTTCTTTTCTTAAATATTATTTCCTGGCAATTTGAATTAATGCGACTCAATATTCTTACAATATCTGACTTGTGTTAAAAGTAGAATAAATTTCTAGCCGCTTATAGTACAATAAATATAGCAAGTCTTGGGCTTACATTTTAACAACTGCATGTCCAATAACTCAAACTAAACACTATTGTATGCTTACATACATATATTGCATATGGGAAACCTTTTCATTCTAGAACCTTGATTGTTTTCAGTTTATGATGATGGAATTTAATGATTCGATCAGTAGAAATTCAGATATTTACTAGTAAGCTTACGCTTTGGTCGACTTCATTTAATACCCCCTAAGGTAGGTAATGTGAGAAAGGACATCTAACCATCTTTCACGCTATATAAAACACGAATATTAACGTCTATGATTTGACTTTCTCGAAAAATCTGCTAAATTATCACTTTTGTTTGTTTTGAATCATTCAGGTTATCTAAAGAATCGATTTTTCTCCGAGTAGTGAGCATTATCATAATGATCTATTTTTTTGTCTTGCTACCTATCGAGCCATAACGTGGACAGTAGTCTAAAGGACCCGATATTGCGTGAAGTATGTTGAGATATTAGGTAGCTGAAGGTAATTAGATTGAAACTAAGGAACTATGTTTAGTGATATTTAGCACTCATCAGCAAGCTGTACCCGTACGTGTGACGATTAAGCATATCCGCCATGGAGCACTAGTTACCTCAAGATTACAGGTATGATCTTCTGAAACTGAGGTCCAGAGTTTCTCATCGATTACATCCAATCACCTAATATAGTTTGTTTGTGAGTATTTTTCTTGAGGAAACTTGTGGTCCCATCCAAATTTATATCCTCAATTATAAGTTGTATGGTCATCACTTCGATAACAAAATGTAAATTGGGTACTGTTTACCATTATAAATAATTCAGTAGTTCTTTTTTTAACAGTATTTTTCAAAGACAATCAGGATGCCTAACATTATTTCGATTACAGTTTTCATTTCAATGTAATCATATGAGTTGATTCGAAAATATCGCAGTAATATAGCTTAACAAAGCATTAAATATCTCCATTTTTAGAAATATTTAGACTGATTTTAAAAGTTTGGATGGATCATTAATGACGTTTCAATCAAGAATTTATTGTCGTGACTCAAAACTATGAGCAACGTGATCATTTTCCATTTTAAATTCTTTCTTTTCCATGTGATCGTTGAAAAAATTTGTTAACAAATCCTTTGATTTAGTATCTTTTGGGGTTGTTTTACTGATAATCTAAACCAAATTATGTACTTTTCAAAAAGGATCAAGAATTTAATTTTATTTGGGATTAAATTCATACACTCGAGCATCAAAGCATTCAAATTTCCAGTGACTTTTTGTAGAACTTGAGGAAACGTTAAAATTCGTCACTACATTATAACTAATATTTGTGGTAAACTATGCACATTTGCGTAAACTTTAATCATAAAGCGTGTGACGTGATTAATAATATAATTCGAAAGAGCTCGATGAATATTAAAAATTAGTTTTTAATCACGAAAGGGAGAGTTGTTGTGCTTGAATAAAAGAAGTTATTTCAATTTGTAATGATTGGTGAAATACTTCCTACCAAATATGGGTAACTGAAAACAAATTCATAAGTTTGCATTAACATTATGAAATGTATGTAATAGGCTCACTGTATGTAACCTATTATGTTAATTCATTGCTGAACTTAACACATAAATGCAGTAGTTTCATCCAATCAATTAAAAAAGAAATTGATTTCATCATTCTAAATGTTTTATAACCATTCTGAGTCAGAAAAAAAGTTAAATACTACGGATAATATTATTTTCTGCTTGAAAACTTTAGAAATCAGATGGCAGAACTTCAGTTGGTAAATTCCCAGTCATTTACGTCTACATTATATCAGCTTTATAAATTTGACAATCAAAAGATAAATTCCTATCAAACAAATATGTTAATGCTTTGTAGGCTCACAAAAAGTTATCTTTTACATGGAACACTAATGAGTGCTTAACCGGTAAAATTTCTCTTTCAAGTTTGCATGTGTAAGTGAGAAAATAAGAAATTGTTACTGAACAACGTGTGATTAATCTTCTACAATATGAGTAATGTTCAAAAATTTCAGGCAAAAATATAGATATTATTTCCTTCTAATATTCAATAGTCAAATATTCTGCAATTCTTTGTTTGATTTAGGATTAACTAAAACTAGTGGTAAGGTACTTAAATCGAAATTGATACCCTTCACAGGTGAATGTACTACAAAATATTGATCATGTGAACACACATTTTAAATACCTTACTTTTTCAAATTGTTGTACAAGGTCATTTAACAATTTTTCTTTTTCCTGTACTTTATTGTTTAATTCTTCTTTCAGTTCTCTTTCCTTGAGTTCTTCCTTTATAAAAACAGGGAGAAAAATTAAAGATCATTTCATGAAAGTATTGAAAACACAGAATATAAAATTTGCTACAAGTATTTAAATACGACTATGTGTGTTATCGGTTTGTTTGTATATCAATGAGAAATTAAAGGTTCATGTAATACGTAGCATAAAATACACTATATAATTTTTCCTCAAATTACATACGGTAAAACAGTAGAATATTTAGTTTGATTATATAATTTTAAAGATTATAATCGTTAGATCAGTATACATTTTGATAAACATGTAATTGAATCCTAATGATAAATGTGAATAAATGAAAAATCAACAGGTTATTACTAATAAAGGTTGTTATGGTGAATTCACTGTAATGAACATCAGTAAAACTAGCAGAAATAATGAAGTAAGGTTGAAAACATAACTTTTAATTAAAGTATAGTTAAACTGTATACTTTTAAATATTTTATAATATTTATGTTAAAAACATATTTTGGACTCTTACCTGAACGACTTGAGATTACCATAAAAATATGAAAAGTTCTCATGTTTTATGCTTGTTTGATTTACTAATCAGTATATTTAGCTTATTATTAGTTAACTGTGAAGAAATGAAGATGTTTATTGTGTAACACGTAATATTATAAATTAGATGTATTTGCAAGGATTTTATATCAAATTTTTTGTAATTGTTTCAGAAGGGAATTTGTGGATATTGTAGTAATTTTAATAGTTGAGATCATGAGTCAATTGAACCTAGACCACTATGGAGAACTTGGAAGAACTAGACGAACGTTTCGTCCTAGTATGGGATTCTTCAGCAGTGCACATCCTCAACGGTTGATGTGTTGCTCAATTTCGTGATTTAGTTAGAGTTAGACATTAATAGTGTTGGAGGCCGGCTCTGTGGTCTAGTGATTAAGCGTTCGCGCGCGGGACCGATAGATCCTGGGTTCAAATCTCTCGAGGTGGGACCGTGGATGTGCACTGCTGAAGAGTCCCACAGTAGGACGAAACGGTCATCCAGTGCTTCCACGTTTTCCATGGTGGTCTAGATTCAATTGACTCATGATCTCAACTATTAATATTTGCAATTGTGTTTTATCTTGTGTTATTCTTCACATGGAAATTTTCATTTCTCATCCAAAAATTTAGTCGCTTAATTCGAATGTGCAGTTACTTTACACTGGTAACAAGTAGTTATATGAAGTCTAGATTTTCCTGTCAACTATATTCATAGAGTATCGCATTGAACTGATATGCTACAAAGTTTATCAAATATATTAAAAACTATTTAAAAGACTAGTATTTGAACGAAGAATAGTCTTATAATGTGACGGGGATATTTAAACGATTAAAAACTATTTAGCTTAACGAATATAACACTGTCCAAATTCTCATCCTAAACTACAAATGTTCTTCATCATATGGAAATTAGAAAGCTATCCTCTTGATAGTCAATATATATGTACTCTCAGTGTGTATTTATTCAAACATTAGTCTATGAATTTTCATAATATCCAATTTTAAGCATTCATCCGACTCAATACATGTTACTTTTTTTCTTTTATTGTCCAAAAATTATAATAAACTAATCATGAATTTGGTACTGACAAATATTCTTGTCATGTGAATATCGGTATGTTTTAGCCTTATAATTTTATGTATATAATAATGTGAGTCTTTAATTTTAAATTATACGAAATAACGCGAGATGTTTGATTGTGCTTTGTTGGTGCTTTAATTGGTACAATGGACTGTTCATTATTATTGAATTATATACAGGGAGAAACAAACATACATCAAAGTTAACTGTTTACCTTTTGCTTTAATTGTTCTTTTTCTTGATTAACTTGTAGCTCGAGTTCTTCAACTAAATTGTGCAATTCTTCATCTTGTTTCATTATTTTACTATTAAAGAGAGAAAGAGAAAAAAACAACAAAAAAACCGATCGATTACAGAAATAATAAAGTTGGTTATGGAGATTTTTGAATATTGTCATTATACATTATAGATTGACTCTAGTTAGACAAATATTAAAAACCAAAAGGTATTTTATCATGGCATCGAACATTTCCGTAATGTGCATTCACGGTCACATCAGGTCGAGTTCCTGATCTCTGGTGATTTCCAATGCCTGTCTAATTTGGGTCACTCTTTAATATAAAATCATAAATGATTGAAAACTTTATGTAAGAAGTGTATAAAATTTCATAATGATAAATTTAAGGATTGACAATTGTTTTTTACAAGGTTTGGATGAATCACTTTATTTTTTTATGTTTAATTATTATTAAACTATTGACTGACTTGATAAAGAAATGATAAGAATTTCATTTTATGTCTTTACAACAATAAACATTAATGATGAAGTGTATTATTGTAATATTTGCAGTGGACGCACAATGAAGAAAGTATTACTCATTTCAATCACAGTTGAATTTGGAAAGTTGACATGCACAGCAAATAATCTTAGTGCCTTACATGAGAATTCCGGGTTAATTTTTAAATCAGACATTCTTTGCTAGTTAGCTCCCAATTTTTGTTTTTTTGTTTCAACTAAGATCCAATTATATAAGCTTATAATGAAATATGAATAAACAAACCAATTATAATTAACTAATAAACTCAATGTCATCCTATCTAGTGAATAAAAGTAGAAAAATCTTGAATCATAACAGATTTGGAATCAATGACTTCAAGATTATTACGTGATTGTTTTTCACATTTCATTATTGATAAGTTAACTTAAATAGAAAAAGAACTTTTAATGACATTATTATGTTTCGTAAGAATTCAAAAGAATTTATACGGTATTCATAACATTAAAATGTAAATTCATTTATAACTATTAATTCATTTTGCATTGTTTGTTTGAATCTTCTCATTGATGTTTAGGACTGCAATTCAAGTCCCGGAGTGAATATCAACTCTAGGATCCAGATACATCAAGCTGACGAGTCCCAAATAGGACGAAACGCGCGTCCTGGATTAGTGGCCCTATATGTTTCATTATTATTAAGGTACACTTGTCGAAATATCACTTTTGTGGTCCAAGATTTGGATCGTAAGTATGTTATAGAAATATACATGTTGACAATATTCGTATATAATTATCGACTTAACTCGCATTGGTGAATAACGGAATTAAATAAGTCAAATACGAGAATGGATGTTTGAATACGTATATTTTGTACACTCGTTGGTCGGAACAGATAATCAGAGAATCACAGCGTACGAAGCAAAGAAGAGAGAGCGAAACGAAATGATGAGCAATGGTGAAGGAGTGTGAACCATCTCTGATTGCACGTTAGTGGCTCTACAACTGACCCCATATCAGAAGTCTGCGTGTTCGTATCACGTTGGGCTCACCACAAAACTCGATTCCACTGCTAGCCAGTATTCATCTTTGCTTATTTATGACTAATGTTTGCACTGTACTTTATTGTTCATTCTATGTCTTAAATCAGAAATTTGATATTTTGTAATTATCAAGTTAACTTTGGTAATTTAGTTAAATTATGTGAATCATACAATAATAATCATACTGTTTAGTAGAGTAAACAGATTGTAAATAAAAGAATGTGATAAATATAATTACTTCCAAAGTTAATTATTTTAATCATTTTAGTTAGTAATTAAAAGTCTATTGAACTAGTAATCAATTCGATGATACTAGAGAATTAATTAATTTAATAAAGTAATTGAAATTGAAAAGTAAGGTACTTAAAATCATTTGTTTAAGTGTATTCTTTAATTTGAAGTTAATGTGATGCTTTACAGGCAAATCTGTGTAGAATAATGAATAAAATTTCTTTGGCAGTTTAAAAATCCCCATAGAATATTCAAAAATGAAGAATATTTGAGCGAACAATTGTTTTCAATAACTTTATCATCAGGCTCTACAGTTATAAGTCCATTATTATAATATTTTACAAAGGCTAAAAATAAGGCATGTATTAATGAATTTGACAATGTTATGTGTTAAAAATGGTGCACGTTTGAATCTGTTACGATATATATATACTTCAAAATTGTATTATTTGTAAATTAGAGAGGTCATTCAAGAAAGGTCAGGATGATTAGGAGTAAAGTGTCCAGTCATAATAAGTAGAATAGTATTATAGCAAAATGAAAATGCAAAAAATTTTGTGAATAAAATGCGTAGTAGGAGAATTTAATCTTGTCAAGATTGTTGTGTGAATATAATATGTAATAAGGGGGGTGTTATCAAGGTAATTACTATAAACGAATTGGGAATGATGGATACGAAGATAAAGATAGAGGTAATCAAAATTAATATTAATAAGGAGAAAAAATTAAAAAATAAAATAAAGGAAGGGGGTAAGAGGTTTATAATATTCAGTCTAGGTATTCGGTGATCCAGTCGTGGGCCAAGGTAAACATAGAGACTGGATATAATTTTTCTGGTTTTCTGGAGTCGATCCAGATGGCTTCGGCTATGTAAAGTAGTCGTAATCTAGCTCCTTGAGGTAGATATTTTGGAACTTGATATAAAACAGAGAAAGCTTCCTCTATTTTGATATGATGTTCACTATCTACCAAGTGAGAAAGAATGGTGCTGTTAATTGATTTGGTAACTCCTTTTCCCAACCATGCTGGTACATGTTTACAAACACGCAAGGATAAAGCCCTCTGAGTACGGCCCATGTAACTAGCTCCACAAGAGCAGTTGAATTGGTATACACACATGGAGGAGCCCATCTTCGGCAACTTATCCTTGATTAGTTGTGTGAACACTGGTTTAGTTGAGAAAATTATGTGTAACTTGGCGGCGTGAAACGTCCTTTCGATAGATCTTTTGAGTCGACGTGTTAAAATATCTTTCTTTGTTTAGTCGCATAGATGTTAATATGATAGTTGATTATCTGATTGAATTCTTATCCACCATCTATAAACTTTATTTAAATTAAAAAGTTTTGTTTCGCTAATTTTTATTTTCGATTTTTACGGAGATCTATCTGAACTTTACAATTTTTGATAATGTAACTGAAGTTGAATAGTTATCTCGATTGATGGAACACATTCTATATGACAGTATTCAAAGAATAAGATTTTTTATGAAAGTTTATTTCTAGTTAATTTTTATTGATGAAATTTCAGGTTGTTAGTGTAATGAGTACGAGTAGTTCATTTACAAAATAATATTTTTCTTTAAAATTTAAATTAAAACAGCTAATGAGTTATATAAGAGTATCAAAATATGAAATATTTCTCATATGGTTAATTAACAACATAATTGTCAAATGGAATAGAATTGATTACTATGACACTAATTGGTCACTAATTAGTTACTGATATCGTGATTGTCTAGTCTTCTGTGAGGATAAAATTGTACCAACTGATGAGTTTCAACTAGTTTAAAAACTTTGGTTAGTAATTAATACCGATTGGTTCCAACCACCTAACATTCGTGATAGCTTTTAAATTTCCATCACTAAAGTTACAAAACAATGATAACATTATTACTATACTATGATGTCTACGAAAACACGTATTCCCAGTTAATTGTAATGTTTTTGAATATGAGAGTAGACTGCCGTCAGTTAGGATTAGTTTCAGCGGTTAAATATTCTATATCACATAACTGTATGGTAAAATATTTAAAAAGATATCAAATTTGGTAACTACTTATAAAAATTAATAGACCTATCCACGGCATCCAAATACAAGGTTATAAATAGGGCAGAACTACTATTGCTCGAAAATGAAATTCATTTTAGTAAATTGATACACAAAAATAGTAATCATGATTAAGTCATCTAGAGTATATATATGACAAGCCTTTTTGTCAATCACGTTTCGATTAAAGAAATTATAATCAGTCCCGATTCCTACTGGTTACTTAAAATATTTGAGATGGCATAGACTTTGCGCATCGATAACACTTATTTAACAAACATTATTTGCGTAATTCGACCTAAAACACTTGCTCAAATGAAACTAAACATTTCATAATCAATTAGGTCTGCTTTGACATAGAAGATGATAACGTCATACTATAATTTAACTAGATTTGGAATTGTGAACCAAGTGCCCTGGTATGGCCGAGAGTGGAGAGATTTAGCTCTCCCTTTCAAACTTCTCTCACATGGCCACGCATATACGACCACTGCCAGGAAATTCTTACTCATTGCCTTCTCGTAACTGGTGTGTTGTTCACGAAATTGAGAGGATGAAAAGCGAATGTCAGGCTCTTTAACTGGGTTAGTGGAAATGGAGAGTCCACCTAGGGGAGTTGGAAAACCCTGATTCCAAATCAATGGTGCACATGGGCTCCAGGATCCTGAAGGCAACAAATGGCCTATGAACCAATCATTGGTAACTGGCTAGCGTGTGACTGCATCTGCGGACGTTGCCCTACTGACTTGTGGATCAGACCCTTAGGTCGATATCTCGAAGTGTAGTCCTTTAAGAAAACCACCTGCTCCGGTTTGGGCACCCGGGCGGTATGCCAACCTACATACAAATCAAGTGACCTGTGTGGCGCACATATATTCGGTGCCCGTTGTACTAATATTTATGTGTTCAAATAAATCGTATATGAGATAGTGATCGTATGGTGATAAAGAGTCATAAACTAAGATAAACCGATATTCATAGCTCTATTATGCTCGTTTATATTTTGATGTGTTTAAGACAATAGATTTAATGTGATCAAAATATATGGATTTAAATTTAGTCATGATTGTAAATGAGCATTTTAAAAGTTAGGGAACCAAGATTTTATTTCCTGATATCGATCACAGGTCGAGGCAAACTATCATCAGTATGTTAATACTACAAAACTTCATACATGAGGAACATTTTGACATGAATATGTTAAAAGTTGGTCAATATTTTATGAATTTATGTTTTTTTTCCAGCTCTTATTCATATTGAGTGGTAT